TTCTGAGGGTTCAGGAGCGGCAAGGAAGAGGTTTAGTGGGCTTGTGGAGGGTAGGGAGGCAATTTCCGCTTCAACCAAAGTAGCTCCACTTTGTAAGTTACTATATTGGAATTGTGCTTGAGATTTCACTTGGAGGGAAAAAACGCTTCTAAAAGAGAACACTCTTGTTGGAGGAAACAGGGCATGCACATGGCAGTATGTGATTAAGTGCCAGAGTGGATGATGGAGGAGTTCAGAAATGGAAGGTTATTATAGGCTAATGAGGTCTTGATGGAAGTTAGTGTTTAACCTAGGCAGGAAGAAGGAAGGAAAAAAAGATATAATAAGTGGTGGGTTTAGACTTTGCAAAGAACTAGAGTTAGAAATACATATGGTAGTTTTGTTTAAGGAACAGGATCACCATGATAATAGTTGAGTGAATTGCATGAAATAAAATTTGGCTACGTTAGACAGGACTGCACTGTGTAAAATAGTTACAAATGGAAAATTTTTAACTTTATATTATATGCAGCGGGACGAAAGTGGGGATTTAAAATGATAAAAGCAGTGTTTCAGGATGATTGAATTGATAAGGGTTTGTACGGTGGATTTCAGATGGGAAGAGGTCAAACATTAAATATTTAGAGACAAAAGCTGTAAGGTGTTGTTCCTGTCACTGTTGAAGGTTGCATTCATTGACAGTAGATACTGAGACACTGTAGTGTGCGGTATTTATTAGGAATTAACACCTGTGAAAGGAAGACTGGGCACAGGATGAAGTTGTATTGGGATGCGGGCTTCATAAAACCCTTGCTTTTTATTTTAGCGCGGGGCTCCGGAGTGAGGATTGCCTGTCAGAGGGAGTTGAGCCAAATGGCTGGGCCTTTGTACCCCTCCTTGCTTGGTCACTGGATGTGGGCCGAAGTTGAAGCGGACTTTGAGGGAGGTGACATTTGGAAGCTCTGTCTTCTGGCTGTTCTCATAGCTGGTCAGCAGTTCCTTCCATGAAGGGGGAGCTTGGTCGCACATCTCTATGTCTTCCATAGACAGTGGGTCTGAGTGTGCGCACTTCTTCCCCAGAGGGCAGTTTTGAAATAGTTGGAGGTATTTTGGTTTTTCAAACGTCGGGGAAGAGGGTGGTATTAGCCTTTAATGAGCAAGGAGAGGGAAAGTCAGCCCTCTCACAGTGTTCAGGACAGTCTGCACGTTTAAGAACTGTTTGAGTTACTACATGACTTTGGTTGTTGTTGGACTTTGTAGGTGAAAAAGTGGTAATGATAATCTGAGCTTAGAAACTAACTTTGTTTTAGGTATGAGGCATTGTATTAATATACACCAAAAGTTTCAAGAATTTAGTTACCACATAAATTGGAGCAATGTTAAAATTTTTTTTAAGTTTATTTTTGAGAGAGAGAGAACATGGGAGGGGCAGAGAGAGGGAGACAGGATCTGAAGCAGGCTCTGCACTGACAGTAGAGAACCTGATGCGGGGCTCAAATTCATGAACGCCCCTGAATATTAAAAATTTTGATCAGAACTTTATCGGGAGTTTACTACTTCAGAAAATCACACGATTGATAGCAGTGCCACCTGCACAGTATTGGGTGACTCAGATACTTTTCCTTTCAGTCTACAGTTGTAACCACCACAGTTGGAGTGATTCTCCATATAGATCTAAGCATCAGATACTCTCATTATGTTTATTTTAATAATTGCCTGCACATTTTGTAATATTATTACAAATTTATTTCTTTCATATGCTTGAAAATACAATTAGAGTATTGTTGACTTTTAAAATTTCACTTAGGCTATCTCTGAATTTAATTTTAGGATAGTACAGGGGGTGTTACAAGATAGTGGTCATAAAAAGAGGAAATTGATTTCTGTTTTCATTAATGGTGGATTGGGTTATTTCAGACCAGCCCTTTTGATGAAAACAACTAAAAATCTTGGAAACAATATTTCAACATTTTTTTTAGGAATTAAAGAGCTGAAGAGCTAGTAGAGAGCTACAAGGCCAAATACTAGGAAAAAAATAGGAATCCAAAAAATAAAGTGGAGAATGAAGTAGCTTTTGCTCTAAGGGCAATTGCCAACCTATTCAGATTTGAGCTTTGGTTTTGGGGTACTTCATGGGATGAAGAAGTTCGAAGTCAAAGCCTGGAGTTCTTCCAAAGTGACAGTCAAAAAGAAGAATAACTCCCTCTTAAGATGATATCCCAAGGACTCCATCATTAGGTTAAGAGTGAAACATAACTAGACTGTCTACCCATTCCCATATCTAGGGGATTGTGGATTTGATTGGAGCAGGGGAAGAGAAAAGAAATTAAGAAAAATAAATCCTTCAAGTTGTGACCACAGTTTTAGCTCTCACACTAATTAGCAGTTTAGATTTCTCTTGCCTGGGTGGTCCAGGGACCCTCAAGCCATTTATCTTAGTTCCTGGTTTCAGACTGGTAGTACTCAGAAGGCTTGGCAGAAGGAAAGGCAAATTATCATTGGAGACAGGCCCTTCATTCTGAAGAGGATTGCCACCAATAATTTTTCAAGAGCAGTTAATAGTACACTATCACAAGTAACCAAGCATAGTAAAAATATACACACCCACACATAAAATTACATGATATATGTATGTAAAATTCTTTAAGCAATATAATTTAAGATTTGTGTAGTTTTTTTATTGAGATATAATTGACAACTGTGTAGTTTGCTTTATATACATATACCTCAAAATAAGTTTTTAAAAAAATATATAACCTACTTGGAAATGGCACTGTGAATAAGAAACAAGTCCACATAATTCTCAAATATCAGATGGATTTAAAACAATTGCTGTTTCTTAATGAAAGACATACATATTTTTAAATTTTTTAAAAATACTTATTCGTTTTTGAGAGACAGACACAGAGTGTGAGTGGGGAGGGGCAGAGAGAGAGGGAGACACAGAACTTGAAGCAGTCTCCAGGCTCCGAGCTGTCCACAGAGAGCCTGATGTGGGGCTTGAACTCACGAACTGAGATCATGAGCTGAGCCGAAGTCGGACCCTCAACCAACTGAGCCACCCAGGTACCCCGAGAATGAAAGACATATTTGAAGACAAGCAGAGAACAAGAGACTATGACACTTAGTAGACTTGAGCGCGCGCACACACACACACGCACACACACACACACATGGAAAATGCAGAAATGAAACTATGCCAAATATACCTAAGGGAGAGATTGAACATATCGTACCTAACTGAAGAAGAATTAGTTACCTGGAGGATAAGGTGGGAGAAAGTTTCCCAGCTGCACTACTAGAGAGTGAAAACAGTGAAAATATTGAAGAGAGCTTACATGATGAGGAAGATAGAATGAGATCTATCAAAATTTAATCAGAGCTCCAAAAAGAGAGGAAAGAGAGAATGATGCAGAGGTAATATTTGAAAAGATATTTCTGACTGCACATTTTCCAGTTTTAATGAGAAACCAGTTGATAGACTTTCAGAAGCTCAGTAAATTTCAAGTAGTAAAAGTGAAAAGAAATTTGCACCCAGGCAAACCAGTGAAATGGCATAAACCCAAATACAAAGAGGAAAATCTTAAGATCAGCTGGAGGAAAAAAAAGATTTCTTTCAAAGGAGCAGCTATTGACTGACAGCTAACTTCTCAACAGAACAGCATATGTATTTTCAAAATAATTGCTAATTTATATTTATAAATTCTACACTTAGCAAAAGTAACTCTTAAGGATGAGGGTAAAATAAAAGTTTAGTTTAACAAACTGCATCAGTCCTTTATAAAGGAAATTATGAAGGATGCACTTTAGGCAGAAAATTCCAGATAAAGGTCTGAGGTATGAGGTAAAATGAAGAGTAAAGAGCCTTGTTGAAGTAAATTAAAGAAGACCTAATGGGGCAAAATACCATGTACATGGATTGAAACACTCAATATTATGTAGATATAATTCTATCAGTATTTTATAGTTATAGATATTTAATATAATTCCAATCAAAGCATTAGTTGTTTTTTTAATTTTTTTTTTGGTTTTGTTGTTTAGGTGGAACTTAAAAAGCAGATTCTAAAATTCTCTGGAAAACAAATAAAGGGCCGAAGTAGTTAAGATGTTCTCAAAGAGGACAGTAGGGGAGGATTTACTTTACCAGTTATTGAGACTTACTATAAAGAATAATAATTAAGACATTGTCATAAGTAGTCTAGTGATAGATGGATGGACCAGTGGAACAGAAGAAGGTCTATAATTATGGGTTACTTGATGAATGACAGATATAGGTTACTTAATATATGACAGATACATGCTGGGTAATCAGTGAGAAGAGTGCCCTTTTCAATAAATGGCTGGAAAAATTAATTTGGACCTTAACCTCACAGTGATCACAAATTCTGGCTACATTAAATGTCTGGATGTGAAATGCAAAAATATAAAGCTTTTAGAAGACAATATGAAAACATATTTTTATTTAGAGAGCTTTTAGAATTTATTAGTGAAAATTAACATTTTTTGTTAAATTTAAGATGCCATGAATTCTAAGATTCACCATTACTTTATATTTCTAAAATAAAATATTGCCAGATAACCATGATATGCTATTGACTGTAAAATAAATGCACTCAGTTTTCACTGTTTTAATCTTACAAGTGATGAAATACAGTGCACTTCCTGAACTTCCTTCCATCAAATGTGGATGCAGCTTAGGTTCTCTCCACTGGATGAATTCCCAAAATTTGGAAGGCAAAGAGGACAAGGAAACTTGTTTTTGCTGCTGCTTTGGGTGGTTAGCACAGTTGTGGGATTTGAATGAATAGAAGCAGTTGAGGTGTCTGGACCGAGATTCCAGTGTTTAATACCAGTTTAATACCACTCCAGGCAGGAGTGGCAGTAGCTTTTAGACCTCTGGTTTGCAGTGTAGCCTTTCTTCTCATTCCAGTAGCTACTCCTGATTCTTAATCCTTACATATTTTGAATGATAATCATCTTAGTCCTTGTATTTAAAAAAGTTTTTTCTTACCGCCGCCATCATGGGTCGCATGCACGCTCCCGGGAAGGGCCAGTCCCAGTCGGCTCTGCCTTACTGCCGCAGCGTGCCCACCTGGCTGAAGTTGATGTCCGACGACGTGAAGGAGCAGATCTACAAACTGGCCAAGAAGGGCCTGTCTCCCTCACAAATCGGTGTGATCCTGAGACACTCCCATGGTGTTGCACAAGTACGTTTTGTGACAGGCAATAAAATTTTGAGAATCAAAAAAAAAATTTTTTTTTTTTTTTTTCAGGGCGCCTGAGTGGCTCAGTTGGTTGGGCATCTGACTTCAGCTCAGGTCATGATCTCACGGCTTGTGGGCTCAAGCCCCATGTCGGGCTCTGTGCTGACAGCTCAGAGCCTGGAGTCTGCTTCGGATTCTGTGTTGCCCTTTCTTTCTACCCCTCCTTTGCTTGTGCTCAGTCTCTCTGAAAAATAAATAAAGCAGGGAAGGGACAAAGAGAGAGAGAGAGGGAGACACAGAATCTGAAACAGGCTCCAGGCATTGAGCTGTCAGCACAGAGCCCGACGCGGGGCTCGAACTCACGGACCGCGGGATCGTGACCTGAGCCGAAGTCTGATGCTTAGCCAGCTGAGCCACCCAGGTACCCCCATCTTAGTCCTTGTATTAAATACCTTTCTGGTTGAAATATGTGATATATATCATTTTCTTTTCTGCATTGGTTCCTGATAGATACATTTTTATTGGCTCAAGGAATCATTTGGCATTTAAAAAAAAAATTTTAAACATTGTGGTAAACTATATTCATGTTTTAACCATTTATTAAGTGTATAATTCAGTGGCATTAAATACATTCAGAATGTTGCATAACCATTACTACTATCTGTATCCCTAATTTTTTTGACCTCTCCTGCAAAAACTCTACCCACTAAAAAATAATTCCTTCTTTCTCCTTTTCCCAACCCCTGGTAATTTTTATTCTACTTTCTGTCTTTATGAATTTGCCTATTCTTAGGTACATTGAATAAGTGAAATGTTATATTTGTCATTCTGTACCTTATTTCACTAAGATATGTTTTCAAAGTCCATATATCAAAAGTGACATATATCAAAATAACTGCCAAACTGTTTTTTCACGAGTATTCCATCTACATTCCCTCCAGCGATCATGAGGATTCCAGTTTCTTCACGTCCTTGCCAACACTTGTTATTGTTCTTTTTCTTCCTTTTTTTGGATTTTAGCTATCCTAATGGGCATGAATTGGTATCCATTGTGACTTTGTGTTATGTAATTCTTAGTGGAGTTTTCTCAAGAATCTAAACATAAAATTACCATATGACCCAACAATTCCACTTCCAAGTGTACATACCCATAAGAATTGAAAACAAACTTGAATAGATACTCGTACACTGATGTTCATTGCAGCATTATTTATGATAAACAAAAGGTGGAAACATCCTAAGTGTCCATCGACAGATGAATAGATAAAATGTAGTATATACATACGATGGAATATTAGTCATAAAAAGGAAAGATGTTCTGGGGTGTCTGGCTGGCTCAGTCGTTAGAGCATGCTCCTCTTGATCTCTGGGTTGTGAGTTCAAGCCCCAAGTTGGGCAGGGAGCCCACTTAAAATAAAATTTTTGAAAAAGGAAAGAAGTTCTGTTACATGATATAACATGTGGAAACCTTAAAAACATTATGGTAAGTGAAATAAGCCAGACACAAAAGGGCAACTATTGTGTCATTATATAAAATATCTAGAAGAGGCAAATACATAGAGACAGGAAGTAGAATAGAGCTTAACAGGGGCTGGGAGGAGAGGGAACGGAAGTTACTGCTTAATATGAGAAAGGTCAGAATTTAGTATCAGATGGAACCTAGGCTTAACTCTCATATAATACAAAATTTGTTCTGTAGCATCCCTGACAAATGATTAAGCATTCAATTGAATATCCATAATAGTAAGGCAGTTTTTTCCTTTGTTAAACATCTTTATTATTATTTTTATTTTTAAAGAGAGAGCGAATTAGTAGGGAAGAGGGGCAGAGGGAAAGAGAGAGAATCTTATGCAGGCTCCACGCTCAGTGTGGAGCTCAACATGGGGTTCAATCCCATGACTCTGGGATCATGACCTGAGCCAAAATGAAGAGTTGGACACTCAACTGACTAAGCCACCCAGGCTCCCTAAATATCTTTATTGTTAATAAAGATATCTAATAATGTGAATCTCAAATATACCTTCTTGAACTTTTGTCTCTAAGTTGTAACATCATCCTAGTTTAGTCCTTTGGAAAAGCACAGGACAAGCTGTCTCTTTTATCTCATGTCCCCACCCTCTCACTATTTGATATGCACATACACACTCCTTTAGACGTTTCTTTGACACTGGTTACTTGCTTTGTGCTTTCTCTTGTATCCAGGTCATCCTATCCAAAACCAAAAATACCTTCCCCGACTCTGGTACCCCCTTGAGCATTTGTTTTTCTTTCTGGTCACTGGCTGTGTTAGTACTCACTTAAACCTAACCTCTTGAAAGTCCGTCTTTCATTTCTTATTGCACAACTGAATGTATTCTTTCCGAGGCTACTCTGTAACCTTAACAATCAAGTTACCCTCTGATTTAGTGTATCAGTCCTGCATTTCCAGTGGTGTCTTGAGTATTTTATGTTTTAATGTCTCACTGACATCACAAAGTCAGCAAGTCCTAAACTGAATCAGTTCTCTTTCCCTTTAAATTACTTCTTCCCCTCTTGTAATATTCTCTACTTATTATAGTTTATTCTTGAAACCCCAGAGCATCTTTCATTTCTCCTGTCTCCTTATTTTTCCTGTGCAGTCAGCAAAGCCCTCATGATTGGGATTTGTGTGCTCTTATACGAGACCTCAAAGAGCCAACTCCTCCCTTCCTGCATATAAGATTACAGCTAGAAACACCGTCTGTGAACCACAAAATGGGTCCAGACACCATATCTGCTGGCACCTTGATCTTGGACTTGCCAGTTTCCAGAACTGTGACAAAATTCTTTTGTTTGTAAGCCACCCAGTTTTTTGTGTTTTGAGAGAGAGAAGGGGCATGAGCAGGGGAGGGACAGACGGAGAGGGGAAGAGAAAGCTTAAGCAGGCTCTATACCCGGTGCGGAGCCTGACATGAGGCTCCATCTCATGACCATGAGATTATGACCTGAGCCAAAATCAAGAGTAGAACGTTTAACCAACTGAGTCATCCACACACCCACATGGTATTATTTTTACAACAGCCCACACAAATGAAGACAGCTGCTGTTCTTACTAAGGTTTATGAGACTCTGACCCTCCCGGTCAGTAAGGACTATCACTACAGTATTTCTAATGCCTAGTACATCATGTGATACTAATACTAGGCTTTTATAAAATATGTGTCAAAAGGATGATTTACTTTTAGAATTAGATATAGCATGTAAGCATTCAGTGTAGCATTGTGCCCAACACATACAAGGTACACATAAATGGTAGTCCTTTTCCTTATAAAATAGTTTGTACTTTACATTCATTGATTACATTTATTCGTTCATTGGCTTAAAGTTTAAGAATAAATACTGAACTCCTCTGTGCTGGTTGTGTGTTAGCTAGGTGCTTTGATACAGACATGATTATCTCTGTCCTCAAGGAGGTTACAATCTAGTGGTAGGACCAAATAAATCAAGAATTAAGGACAGTGTACTATGTTCAGAGTGTGCTCCAGGTGCAGAGAAATCACAGAAGAGGAGCACATAATGCAACATGGGTTTAAGGGAGGGAGGATGAAAGATTTCCTAAAGGAGATGAAGTGAATTTTAAATATTTAAGATGTACAAACCTTTTTAAAGAAGGATAATTACGCTTTATTTAGAGACATAAAAGACCTTAATAAATGGAGGTACATACTGTGTACTGAGAATGAGTTGAAAACTGAGTATGGTAAAGATGTCAGTTTTTTGCACATTGACTAGTAGATGTATTTAAATCCAAATGCCTGTAGGTTTTTCTGTGGAACTTGACAACTTGATTAACAGTTTCTATGGAAGTAAAAAGAGGCAAGAATTGACAAGTTACTATTAAAGAACAGTAAGAAAAGACTTCCTTAATCTGTTTTTTCAGTCAACAAATTTGAATGCTTGCTACATGTGAGACCCTTGTTATTACCTTAGTGAACACGAGACATGTCTCCTACCTAAAGCACATTCAGATTCACTTCTGGTGATATCTGAGGTTTTTAAATAAAACACTTCATGAAATATCAGGTGAGTGCCAGGACTACCAACAAACTTATCACTGTAATTTTATTACATGGTTTTTATATTTAAAATTTTTCCTGGTTGTGTAAGATTTTTCTTTACATTTTATTAGTTTTAATTTCTTTTAACTGTAGGATGCCAGAAGTAGGCAGGTTTTACCTTAAATAGATCCTTAAGAATGTCAATTGGATTACAGCCTTGTTAGAAAGAGAGGGAGGTTCTGCTGCTGAATGATGTATCAAGCAATTATGCGACCTTGGGGAGTTAGCGAGGGAGGGTGACTTTGAGGGTCCCACACGCATAGGTTTCGAGGCCTAGCCTGTGTGTCAGGTGTCTGGAGAACTTACAAAAGAAAAGGCAAGATGAATAACAAAGTGACAGGTGAACTTAAGTAGGTAGAGGTTGCTAATGAATTTTATATGCCTGTATGGAAGTACGTGGGTGAATACATGCTGCTAAATTAGTTGGGAAAGCATACACTTGTTTGGAACACTTGCTTACTGTATTATTATTATTATTATTATTATTATTATTATTATTATTTTTAACATTTATTTATTGTTGAAAGAGTGTGAACAGAGGAGGAGCAGAGAAAAAGGGAGACACAGAATGTGAAGCAGGCTCGAACGTAGGGCTCGAACCCATGAGCTGAAATCATGACCTGAGCCAAAGTCGGATGTTCAACCAACTGAGCCACCCAGGCGCCCCTGTAATATTATTTTTTTAATGTTTATTTATTTATTTTGAGAGAGAGTGCATGCACATGGGAGAGGAGCAGAGAGAGAGAGAGGGAGAGAACCCCAAGCAGGTTCAGCACTGTTAGCACAGAGCCCAAAACGGGGCTTGATCTCACGAACCATGAAATCATGACCTGAGCCGAAACCAAAAGTTGATGCCTCACCAATTGGGTCACCCAGGGGCCCCTTGCTTACCCTGTTAAATAAAGTTGAACCCCCTCTTACTGTGCA